GTATCCGGCATTTGGGGGCATCGGTTACAAGCAATGTCCTTGGTGTGCACTCCCACCACGAGCAGAGGGTTGTCTTCAGCACCCTCTTCTTTGGGTCGGCATCCACAGCTCCGGGATTGGCTTGTAGCAGATGGTCAGGCCGACTTTGCCAGGGGTGCGGAGGCCAGTGTGACACAGTCCGAGGCTGAGGCTCACGCAGCAATGGCAATGCATGATGCCCTTTGCAGTCCTCTTGGCCTTGATTCCGCTCGACCCACCCTCGTGTTTTCAGATGTCCGTGCGCAGCCATCCAAAAAGGACAACGGATATGCCATATAGGGAGACCTGCCTGATATGACTGCCATTATTCAGACACTCATGTTGCATCGAGATCTTATCATGAGCAATCAAATGATCTATCCAATAGTGGACAACCGAATGCCGGCAGATGTCCCTCATTGGCCGGCTTTTGCAGCATGGTGGGCCTCCCGTAAGAAGAGACAACTGACATACTTTGGGTTTGTGCAGATGCTACTACTGGCCTTCACAAGATTCCATACTACTGGGCAGGGGTTTTTGTCCTCGAGGCAGCACGCTTCCTGTGCCCCGCTCAACACTTCGCACTCATTGACAATGACTGCACCAGTCACGCTTCTTGAAGTGCAAGACCCACTCCAGCTGGCGCGTCAACAGCACCAGTGGGTTGACCTAATTGGGTGTGTGCGATCTGAGTCCAGCTCCTGTGCGGGTATTGGCATGCTGCTCTTCACAGAGGCCCATCTGGAATATAATGCAGGTTTGGTTATTTCGATAGGCAACCGCAGCAAGCACAGCCCACTGCACGACGAAACGACTGCTGCGGCCCTGGCGAAGAGCCTCCAGGAATGCCGCCTTGCCTTGGTTTCTAGAGCCAGACCACCTGTCAATCCGAGTGACACAGCCATAAGTGGCACTATGTTCACCCCATTTGTCGGGATAGCGATGCAAACTGCCCTTGACCTGTGCATGGTCTGGTCCTTGTATGGATTATACATGTGCAAGCATTTTTGGCCCAGCCCAGTCACCAGCCCGGATGAACTTGGTCCTGGCGGTACAATCAAGTGGCCGCGGCAATCCCATCCAAAGGCTCTCACCCCCGAAGGGAGAGAGCGAACTCCTTGGCTCACCAGCTGGGCTCGTGCCACCTTCGAGCAGGGAACACTGTCGGTGCTCCCCATGCTAACGGGGCCTTGCGCAGTCACGTCATTGCCAGGGGAACACCTTTTCCAAGCCAGTGCACTGCCACGCAACCGTATGCGCCCTGCCATGTTTCATGCCTTTGGCAAGGCCAAGGTTGGAGCGCAGCCTCACGAGAACTGGAGTTGCAGGGTTGGGAAACGCTGCCGATCGCCATACTAGGCATGCCTGACCTGCCCCCAGCATGGGTCATTGAGACTTGGAGCAGGTGGGTGTAAATTTACAAGCTATTTCCCCGGGGCAGCTGGGAACAGTGCCTTGCGCTTTTGCCTGCTACTAAAGTGGCGAGCGATTCGTCCCCAAGCGAATGAACTCGTGCGATTTGTGTGTTCAGAGCCGTGCTAGGCAGGACATTCATCCACGTGAAGATAAGGCAGAGGCTGCGACAGGTCATTCGATTGTTTCTTTTGACTTTGGGTATGCCAGTAGAAAAGAAGATGAAGAGAAGATATGTGGCCTATTTGTCCATGACAAGCACACCGGGCCATGCACGTGATTCCCACTGATGCCAAAGGTGGTCGAAGATTACAGTATTTGCGCACAGAGCCTGTTTGATTCATTGTGTGGCTGGGCCACACTACAATTGGCCTTAGGTGTGACAATGAACCTTCCTGTTTGAGCTTGCTGGAGGCTGTGCGTAAGACGTGCAGAGCATTAGGCATTTCTGTGATTGTTGAGACTGTGGTTCCAGGCAGCCACCAATCCAATGGTGGTGCTGAATCCACAGTGAACATTTTGAGACAACATGCCGGCCTCTTGGTGAATCAAATTGAGCAGTCATTGGAACTTCCTGATGTCATTGGATGCCAACATCCTATTTGCATGTGGGCTCTCCTTCATGCAAGTTGGCTTCACAATCGTTTTGCTGTGCGCCAAGGGCAGACTGCCTATGAACGATGCTGTGATCGTATGTACACAGGCCGTCTTTGCATGTTTGGAGAAACTGTTTTTGGATACTTGAAAACTAGTTTGAAAGGTGCCCCTCGATGGACGAAAGGTGTGTGGCTTGGGAAAACTCAAAGCAATGATTGTCATATTCTTAGCACTCCTGGTTCAAAGTTGTTTGTGACACGCAGTGTTAGACGCCGAGTAAAGCCATTCGATGCAGACATGATCAGCCAAGTCGAATGTGTTCCTTGGGATTTTGGATATGCTTCACTTGGTTCCCAACTCATTCTTGCCAAGCGCATTGCTGCACCCACTGCATTGCCTGTTTTGCCCAGCTTTGATGCTGATGCTGAAGCTGTACGCGATGTACCTTCAACTCCTGATGAACCTGCTCCTGTTCCTAGAAGAAGTGTAGTTGATGAAGAAACTGAACTTGTTCTTGGTATTCCTCCAACACCTGATGAGCAAGTGTTGGAATCTAGTGAGGTTGGACCTCACGCCAATGTGTCTGGGCCTGTTCTTGTTGGCAGCTCAGCTCCTGTGACCTCACCGGTTGGACCGGATAGTGGGGATGTTTCGATGTCGGTTGAGGCGGGGCCTAGTGCCGGTATCGCTGTTCCACCTGTTTCGAGCCAAGCTTCTTCTTCCTTTGCTGCATCGCATACACACAGACGTAGTCTAGCTGAAGATGATGTTGATCATCCTAGCAAGTTGCCTAGATTGTTGGCCGTTCATGAACTCGAGCATAAAGACGAAACGATTGAATGGTATTTTGAGAGTGATGAGTTGGAAATGCTTGAAACTTATGAAGATGAGTTTCACGAGCTTCAAACCGCCCCCGTTTTGGAGCCCTCGAACGGTGTTGACCCAGAGTGCATGTCTGCTGAAGAAGTGGCTTCAGCCTTAGTTGAGCTTAGTGTGCCATACACGCCTTTTGAACCAGAATTGTCAGATGAAGCTCTCCTTGCTTTGGACATCCTTGCAGACAAGGTTGAACTAAGTAGATTGAAGAGTTTAGGTGTGCTGTTGAAAACAGAGACTTTAGGTGATGTGACGCCCAAACGCTTGACCACCAGATTTGTTCGAACGTGGCGTGACAAGAGGTTGTCTGGCAAGCGCGTTTGGTTGCGAAGGTCCCGGTATGTTGCTAGAGAGTATGCTTGGTTGACACCAGAGCGTGAGGATCTTTTCTCTCCTGCTTCGAGTTCCCTGACCACGCGTGTTTTGCCTACGCTGTACTTGAAGTGGCGTTCACAGGGGTATGTCCTTGTTGCACTTGATGTTGCTGATGCTTTCCTCACTGCGCCACAGCAAACGCCTTCTGGCCAATCTTGTGAGTATGCGCTTGGTAAGGTGCTCCCAGGGCAAAGAGATGGAAGCCAGTTGTGGTATGAGTCGATTACTGAGTTGCTCCATAGAGATCTAGGTATAGAGCCTTGCCCTGCCTATCCGCGCTTGTTGAAAAGCAGTTGTGGTCGATGCGTGATGTTGTTGCACGTGGACGACATCCTTTGTCTCGTCCATGAGGACTTCTTGAAGAAGAGACTCCTTCCTACCTTTGAGGCGCGCTACAAAGTAGCAGTTGAGATCATGAAAGAGCCAGACGATGAAATATGCTTCTTGAAGAGAACGCATGTGCTGAAATCAGAATTTGAGATGGTAATTCAAGGACACCCCAAACATCTGGAACATTTGTTTGAGATCCTGAAGATTGGTCACCACCTCAAGCCGAAGAAAGTCCCAGGTCATCCCAATCTTGAAGAGATAGATGAATCTGAGCCTTTGAGTGCCAAAGATGCCAAAACATATAGGTCCGCCGTAGGTGTACTTCTATATATCTTTATAGATTTCGTAGAATGTCAGCATGTGATTCGAGCACTTGCACAGTACATGGCGCATTGAACACGAAACAGTATGTTGTTCTTGAGACACCTCGTTCAGTATCTTCTTTGGGTGTACAGATCAAGCAATTTGTTTGAGATTCAAGCAAGAGTATGGTGTGTATCATTATGTTGGGAGTGAGAACGTGTTGGATATTTTCACTGATAGTGATTGGGCAAGTCACAAAGCAACACGGAAGTCTGTGAGTGCGTGTTGTCTTTTCTTCCACGGGTGCTTGCTGCACTCATCGAGTCGAAGTCAAAGGGTGATTGCTCTTTCATCGGCTGAGGCCGAATTATACAGTGCTGTTTCCGCATGCTGTGATGCATTGCTCCTGAAAGTGTGCCTCTGTTTTGCCCTGAGCCTCGAGACACTTGTTTTGAAGCTTTACATCGACAATTCTGCTGCCAAGCAGATCTTGAAACGCCAAGGAGTGGGCAAAGTGCGCCACCTCTCAACTCGTGCCCTTTGGGTCCAGGGTTATGTGAAAGAAGGCATTGTTCAGGTGAATTCGATTCCCACGAAATGGAATGTTTCAGATATTGGTACAAAACGATTGCATTGTGACCGTATGAAACTTCTCATGCACCTTTGTGGCAGTTTTGACCAAGAAAGCAACGATTTGATAGGACAAGATGTGTATGACAATACACTTGAATGTGAGGTAGTTTCACATGAAATCAAGCAGATTCGAAAATGTGGTTTCAATTCCGTTAGTGCAAAACGCATTTTGCATATAGCGCTTGTGATGAGCGCCTTGGGTCAACCAGTTGGCGCGGGAGACACATGCAGTGCCTTGGATGATGCTGCAGCCTGCACTGGCCTCGAGATTTCTGGAGATGGGAGCTCCTTGTTCTGGCCTGGCATTTGTGCCTAGGTGCTAGCTGTTTTGCTTTGCTTCGTATGTGTCTTGGCTTGGAAGAAATATTTTCCTATGTTCCGTGCGAGCGAACATGATCCTGAGCTGCAGACCTCCCAGTCTGCAGAGAGTGAGTGATGATGAACCAATCTCTGCAATGGATCTTCCTGAAGATCAAGCTCCTGCACCATTTGCAGAGTGGAGCCCGGAAGCTTTGATCGAATTTATGACCAATCGTATTTGCAGAAGGTTGAACAGAGCTGATATTCGAGGAAACGAGACAGTGCGCAACAGGCTTTGGGGCCAACACTCCGTCCTGTGTTCTCTTTTGCAGACCTGCGTGGAGAACGAGCGCAATGCTGGAGTGAGGCGCCGCGCTCTCGATATGATGCTGAATATCAGTGACATCTCCCCATCGTCTTCTGAGCTAGAAAGGCGTGATGACGCCATGGAAGAGGCTGAAGACAATGAGACCGAAAGTGAGCGCAGGGATGATGTCTCGACTTTGAGTCAGGCAAGTGATCCTGATGGTTGGATCGAGCGACATTACTAGCAATTTAGACTTGAAATTTGTGAATGGTCAATGGCCCGTTGCCGTGTGAGTTTTGATGAAACTCTGATTGACCAATTGTTTCTTCCACATTAGCATTTGAAGACCATGCTATGTGGAGGCGGGGTGAAAGAATTTGACCCGATTTGTACATGTCACTGTATAGAGCATTGGATGCATATGTACATGATGATATGTTTACATACCGCATAGGCGCTTGTGGATCAAAATAAGCTTTGCAGCATGGTATGCGGCGTAAGCAGATGTTTGAGATGCACAATGCTTTCAAAATTCCGACTCAACCCTGAGACCTGCAAGACTTCTTGATCCGTCAAAAGCCGAAAGGGCAAATGAATACTGCTGTTGTGAAAAAGCGGGAGGACATCGCGTAGGGCAGCATCTTTCTCAGAATTAGGCGCTCCTGTGGCAAAACACTTGAGAAGATACCTCCATGCCGTACGATAGATCGGTGGAATGATTGAGTTCCACTGGAAATTTGGTATTCCATTGTCCGAGGAGAGATTTGCTATCATTGCAAAGCTTTCTTTAGTGTGCCAGTGGGAGATGCGCCATAATAACGCCGACGGATGATAACTAGACCAACTGTATCGCAATGCGAGGTCACTGAGGACTGCTATTGGTCTCATGAAAGGTTGTAAGGGGACTTCCCTTAGCGTACCCCGTTCAAATCGAAGAAGGTGGCTCCAATCTTGGGTCCACTCTAAATCAGCTATCGGGATGACTTGCATATCAGGACCCTCATGCGAGGTGTTGTTTTGAAAAAAGACGCGGAGCCTTTTAGCAGGAGAAATAAGAGAGGTACACCATGTGAGATTTGCCTTTGGCACGTGTCGAAGTCCTAGACACGCACGAATGAAACAAAAATGCTTATTGCGCATGGAGCCAGCGTTTTCAACCAAAAACGAATGCGGTCTCCTGGAATAACAGTGGCAAGCAGGTGTATGGCTAGGTGCATGGTGAAGAATAGGACGCTGGCTGGCCCGCATATCCCAAGGTGACCTTGATCCTCTCCTGCAAATGTGAGATCAGTGCACGGGCTGCCGCCAATAATAGAGAAGTGGCAATCCGCTTCTAGCGCAACGAATTCTCGAAGGAGCCGAGCATTGTCAACAAACAAGGTGTCTACATCTTTGGCATAGTAAAAGGCTCCACCCCCTTTAAGACTGTGCTGCCATCGTTGATCGACAGTGATTCCATGCTTTTCGCCAACTAAGTACCTCAATGTTTCATCTTTTTCACATAGAATACATACTTTTGGCCTATATCCGAATTTGGCTTCAATGATATCAACCGAGGATCCACATCCGTCAAACATACTTAGGATGGCATACGGACCTTTTTGTGTGACACTAGAGGAAGCGTTCTTGGGAAGAGATTTGGATTGCGAATCTACACTCCCATTATTTTGTGGATCGACAGTATAAGGACCTGGGCGACTAGTGGTGGAAGGATGCCACTGAGATGATCTAACAACCAAAGAGGGACAGTGACTTGGGTCACCGCCACCATTCGGAGCAGTGAGGACTGCTTGAGGCGCCTCACTGAATTGCGAGATTTCATTTTCAATAATCTGTATCGTTTCTGCTGGAACAGTAGTAGCATCATCAGGAGGGGGCCCATACGTTTCAAGAAACGCAATGTTCAGCACTGTATTAACGACAGGTGCCTGAGTAGTTTGGTGAGTGGCCGGTAGAGAGTCTTGTTTCTTGGAAGTGCCTTTCCTCCTGGGGTTCAGAGGGTTTTTACTGTTCCACTGGTCTTGGACCTCTTACTTAGACCAGGTCTCCGAATAGGAGGATTTTTGGTTTTCTTCACAGCATGGGTACATTGTCCAGACCATTTGGTGGCAATATCTGGAGCACGAAAGAAGAAGCCACAAATACGGTCCCCATCTTTGATTTTAGCATCATCGATATAGTGTAGCCCAACTGCATTGTTGTAACACAGGAATTTGCATTTCGGTCCTTCGTTTTCTAAAATGTAAAAGTGCTCAGCAGGTTGTTGTTCGCCATTCAAGGGATCATTACCCTGATGTATTATCAACGCAACACATTGCCAGGAGCACCCACCAGAGAATAAGGGATCTTTTCCCAGGAAACTCGCGTAAGTATTTGCTTGTGGGTGGGAAGCCCTTGGATATTGCAGCCATACCAAACGGCTAGTGGCACAAATTTTAACTGTAAAGTCGCTGGAGGTAGCGCTAGGCAACAATTTGTCTGACCATGGCAATGCAGAGTTGAAATAGTCGTGTCCAAGTGCTCCCTGTGGAAGTGGTTGCAGAACAAAAAAGGTCGACGCAAATTGAGATGAACTAGCTCCGCAAACACGACAGTGAAAGGTGACTGATGAGCAGGTTTTCTGCAAGAACGGCTCAGGGAGGTTGATAGCAACGGAGTCGAAGGTACGTTGTACTTCCCCATGTACTTGTTCTGGGAGAGTACACATCGCAAGTGCTAAGTGAAAAGGCCCAAAATTGTGATTGCGCAAGTTAATGGCAGTAGTCCATCCATGAGCGACAGCTTTCATGGCTTGATGGACAATGTGGTCTTCAAACTCAACTTGCATACTCCAATCCGATTTAGAGAGTAGCCTCAATGCAGTTGTGTAGAAGCAGGCTGTAGAATTGAGGTTGTCATAAATGGTAGCGGCTTGCCTGTAATCTTGTTCATCAAAGGCCATGTTGGTAAGTGAGACATCCAAGGAGACAATTTGCTTAAGGGCATGCATGTGCGCAAGCTGCCTTCGTTCTGCAAATGAGAGGGAAGTGATCGGGCCTACTTGGCCAGATGACCCCCCAGGAGCCTTGATATTACTTCTTGTAGCATTACCACTCGGAGTAGGAGCAGTACCACCAACTAAGGAGTTTTCTTCAATGATATCGACAGCATTGTCTTCTGCTTCTCGAATGCTCTGCACAGTAACCTGATCTGCAAGGGCCGCAGCAGATTCAACCTCTGGCATGTGGATTTCCTGGATGAGGTTGGAGTCAAGCCGAGCATCAATTTCTTGACTACCAGGTGTATTGGCTGTAGGTAAGGCTGAAGACTGATGAACTGCAGGTGAATGATTAACGAGCTGTTTATCTAGCTCGACTATGAGTTTTAACTCTTGCGATTCTTCCAGTGTTGAGCTAGCGTCGATCACTGTAAGTGGAGACGGAGTAACAACAGATAACTCAGCAGGATCTTGGGCCTCTATAGATGGGGGTTGTTCAATCGAAGGTACTTCTTGTTCAAAATATTTCAGAACTTTGTAATCTCCCTGCATGTGACAGTCTCCGTTAGAGTCTTGGTTAGTCTGTGGCACGGGAACGGTAGCAGCAGCAAAATGAAGTTCTTGCTGCTTTGGGAGAGCAGGGTTAACAGCAGGGCTGATAATCTGTTGATCGCCGTTTTCATTATTTCGCAGGAGCGCGGCTTGGAGATTACTCTTGCCACGAAATGCGTTTTGTTGCTTTCGAAGATCGTCATCGAGGTCTTTTGGTTTTGTACGCTCGTTGCTAGCATCGCCAGTGCTGGGAAGTTTAGGGATGGGTACTTTTCGGACCAATGCATCGAGCGTGTCTTGGAGGCGCTTGTTGATCGTAACGGTCGAGGAGGTTTCAGCACCTTGCGGGTTTTGTGGAGATAGGTGTTTGCCGACATCTTTTTGAGCTTTGGACTCTTCGGGGCTATCAATCTGACTATGTGGTGTATCTTGAGTGGCAGGAGCCGAAGGTTGAGAAGGCGTATAAATCTCTGAGGCACCGAAATGGCTAGGTTGAGCAGGCGAGGTGAGTTTTCTCGACCTAGCAGGATTTCGTTTCTCTATTTCATGAGAGAAACTGGAGTGATCTGCATGCTTGGCAGTCAAGCCATCAAGGTCTGCATGCCATGTAGCAACAACACGACCTTTTGGTGCCGGTTGGAACAGGTCAAAGATGTTGATCTGTCCTGTGAGGAAGAGGATCAGATCTGTGCGCTCGCATACTGACAGTTGCAAGCCATTGCGCGTACATCGATAAACAACACCATCCTCAAATCTAGGCTGAAATACTGTAAGCACTTGATTACTCCGGAGGTGGCAATGGACTATTCCAGCCTGTGGTGGTAGAACGATAGTGTCGCATTCAGAACTACTTTTTTGCTCTTCAACAGTAGGCTTGTTGAGAGGACAAGCAAGGAAGGTTGAATGATGATCCAGAATTGGTTTCCGATGAAGCAAGAGATCAAGTAAAGTAATTGCATCCTGAATCGTTAAGTCATGATTGACTAAACAAATGGGCACAGCTTCATCAAGAATAGTACACAGAACATCATGCTGATTGATGTATAGGTTGCTCTGTTTGACTCTATTGAACCTTTTCCGCGAAAGGTCACTGCGCCGAATTGGAAGGAAGGCACTGAGCTTGGCACCTTGGTTTGACCCTTTGATTTGCGAAATGACATGATGATCGATCCGATTTTCTTTCACATGTATGTTCGAAAAGGGGGCATCAGCAATAACCTTGGGCTGCTTGTAATAAAGTAACCGATCATTTCCTTGGTGGTCCTTGATGACGCCGGGAATATGCGGTAAGATGTTAGAACTAGCAAGAAAAGTAACAACCTTCTGTTGACTCTTTCCCTGCACATGGACAACCGCAACACGAATACTAACTGCATCAAAGGTGTGTGACAAATACGTGGAGAGGCCTGCTTGTACGCCTCCATCCTTTGTCGTAAAGGTGCCGTCATCTTCTATTTGATATGCCTCGTAATTGGTACTGCCAGCCGTTTGAAGTTCAACATGCCATGAGTCTTGAATAGGACCTGGTTCAAACTTACACTGAAAGCAACCTTCTTCCCTTCCAAAAGGGAGTATGATGTCAGCATGAAAGATAGCCTGTCTAAAAGCTTCCAGAGTAGCTCCTGCCGCATAAATGATTAAGATGGATCTTTTTTGGAAATGATAGTAAATGTCCATGGATAGAAGGATTTCTTGAATTTTACACAGGGCAACGCTATGAGGTTGTTTCGAGTATCTTCGACAGTCGACGAAAGTGACAAATTGGCGCAGAAAGAAACTAGGGACTGCATGCTGGCTACCTACCCAAATGAGAGGTATGATTCTTTGCAGTTCTTGTTTATCACAATCGTCGGTCTCGTTTCTGAGGAGTTGGTAAATTTGCTCAAGACTACTAGAACTGTAGTCCGCCTTCGTTGGTGAAATGCAGAAAGAGATACAACTTCTATCAGTGACCCCAAGCGTTGTCTGAACAGGGACAGTATTCGTATACAAACGAAAGCGAAAGACCTCAGGGATCGATTTGATTTCTTCATGAATTTTGGGGGTGAGCACAGTACTGTTGCGTAACCATGTTTCTGAGTATTCGATGCAGGGCGATATGACCTCAATGCTTCCCGTAGTGAAAGAGGAGTGAAAGATAACAAAATAGATGCTTTTGGTAGTTTTTTGCTTGTTACCATCCGGCGAGTAAGTAAAATCTTGGTACTTAGAAATACAATGCACTCGGGATAGGTGTCTGCGAAGCGAAGAACAGACTGCAGTGACTAAGTCAACACACGTAGCATTGACAAAAACATTCATGGAAGAGACACACATAAGAAAGCTTATCAGCTTCATGGTATAGTTGTAGGACATTCTTCTGGAAATGCGTCTGAACTTGAAATAAGACAACAGAGACTGACTGGGTGCCTGCCAATGCAGACTGCAGGATTCCCATTTCGTCCTCACTAATAACTTTCAGATCTTCATGATAGTGGGATGTGTTGATGGCACTCGGAAAGCGGCAAACGAAAAAAAATTTGTGTGTGGCAACGGTAGGCTGTACAAGATGTCTTCTAAGCGATCCTTGTCCAACAAAGGACAAAAGTAGATCATCATAAATGGCCTGCGCAATAAGACAGAAGGCTTCCTTATCTAACATAGCAAAAGAAGAACCGAAGTGCCACAGACAACAACTTGGATTGCCGTCTAGGCTAGGCGAGGCGAGAGACGCAAACAATGTGCAATAGCAGTATCTTGGGATACCACTAGAGCCAAAATGCCGAAAGCACAGGCCGCTAAGCAACTAAGGGGGTTCCAACAAGCTACAGAGGAAGTCTCTTCTCTTTAAGAGAGTTCCTTGAACCTCCTGCTCACCTGTTAGGTGAGTTTGAACCGAAAACTTGAGCCAAATGGCTACGGATTTGCCCGTCTACTCCCGTTGGGGAGCCGAGGTGCATTCAGGCGGCTCTTGCTTCCATCGCCGTCTGATGCCTTTTGGGACAGGAGGCGCGGGTGCGACGGACTCCTCAGTGTGGATCAAAGGACAGCTGCTTGGGCAGGCGCCTTCCAGATTCACAATTTCATCTGATGACTTATCTTGCTGTTGGGGCAGCTCTCTTGCATGTGTGGTGTTTTTTTTGCACGAGTCGAGGCGCTATGTGTGCAGGTTCTGCACAAGTCACCTTAGTCGAGTTAAGAGAGAGTTGCTGCTGTCCAGGTTGCACTCCAACAAAGAGGCAAAACAAGAAAACCCCCACGCCGCAACCAGAAAACCAAAAAACCACGACCCCCAAAAGAACACCAAGCCCAGGAAACAACCTGTTACGCAACTCTTGTGGTCTTGCAGAGATAGAGAGTGAGGGTGAGACAGGGGCAATGAATTCCGCAATGCGCTCAGTATATCTTGTCCTTCAACAAACTCGTAAGTGCCTCGTAAGAGCCTCGTAAGTGTGTGGGTCATCTTGTTCTGATGGCACAGGGCATAACGAAACGACATACTGCAGGCAAAGGCGATGAAGAGTGTGTCCATGAGAGCTTAGCAAAGGCCCTTGAAGGCATTACTGCATAACCTGAGCACTGTCTTGTCAATAGCAGGTCCTCCAATATCAAAATTGGACCCACTGATTGACAGCTGGACTGCTTTGCGCACCCGGTGATCAGGGGCTCACAGTTGGCATGATGTGGCAACTAGAGGAAGACCACTGCACTTGCGATCGGAATTTCCAAAATAGCGAAAAGCAAGGGGGGAGGAGGCTACAGAGGGAGCGCATTGTCCTCGCCCCGACTCCAAACCGGCTCAGCAACGGGAGCAGGGCGAGAAAGCTCCTACGGGCAGCAAAAGGTGTGCATTCTTCCTCTCAGTGATACTGCCGTCAGGTATCTGACATTTCCTTTCAAACGCGGCCAGGTAGATATCGGCCGACACGTGCAAAACCCCATGAACTACACGAAAATAGGTGAGACGAGGTGAGACGCCGCTTTCCTGAGTCTGTACACTGTACTCATCCAGTGCCGCTACACGGGTAGCAGCCTGGGCACTGTCTAGCTACTCAGGCTAGCAAAGGTGAAGAGCAAAACGAAATGGAGTGGCACTCTCAGGACCAACGCATGGGTGCTAGTCTTGTTACCTACTATACCGGGGCAGTATCCCGTGAACTTGCACCCCCCTATTGGTTTCCAGTTATCAGCACTCCAAGCCGGTGGAAGGCTTGGCGTGCCCAAGATGGCCAAAGGCAACGTTTCCCGGCCTTGTTGCTCAAGGTCACGCAAAGCTTTTGGCGCTCCTATTTTGGCTTTACCAAAAGCATGAAAGATGGCAGGTCTCATGCGATCGCTTGACAACGAACTGGCTTGGAACAATTGCTCCCCTGGCAGTGATGTGGCTGTGCATGGGCCTTCTAATAGTGGGAGCACAGACAAAATCCCCTGCTCGAAAGTGGCTCTGGCCCAGCTGGTGAGCCATGGAGTGCGCTGCTGCCCAGCAGGAGTAAGTGCCTGAGGGTGGGATTGTCGTGGCCACTTGATAGGCCCGCTGGCTCCAGTCTGGGCAGGGTTTGACGTTGGGCAAGGCCAAAAATTCTTGCACATGTATAACCCATACAGTGACCAAACAACACAAAGGTCCAGGACATTCTGCATGGGAACCCCTGCAAAGGGAGTAAACATGGTGCTCGGAGTGACTGGCGGTCGGGCCCTGGAAACTGGGGTTAATCGATAGTCTTGGAGTTCTTTTGCCAGCGTGGCTGAAGTAGGCTTTCTCTCAAGCGGGCTACGCCTAAATGACCAAACCTGCATCATACTCTAAGTGTGCCTCTGCAAAGAGCAACATACCTATTCCATGGGAAGGACCGGATCCAGTACGTGCATACCCAACTAGGTCGACCCATTGTAGCTGTTGATGGGCCAGCTCAATCAGATCTTACACTTCAAACAGTGTGACAGGTACGCAATCATTGTCAATGAGTGCGAAGTGCTGTTGGGGGTACAAGAAACGAGCAGCATCTAGTACAAAAACTCCTGCCCAATAATAGGGTACTCTTCTGAGACCTGTGGACCTATCGGCACAAATCCAAAGCACATCAGTGGCCTCTTCCTGTGGACCAACTAGACATCGACGCGAGGCCCACCACGCAGCAAATGCTGGCCAATGCGGGACTGCGTCAGGCTTACGATTGTCGACTATAAGGTAGATCATCTGATTGCGAGTGATAAGTTCACTTTGCAGCATCAACGCATGTATGATGGCTGTCATGTCAGGGAGGTCCCCATCAGTCCCTTCCTTGTCATAACCATGGTCTTGGTTAGGGGGTTGTGCACGAACATCAGCCAGCAAGACTGTAGGCTGTGCAGAATCTAGGCCAAATGGACTACTCAGTTGATCTGGCATGGCCAAGGCTGCATAGGCATCATCTTTGGCCTTTGAGTCAGCCTCCTGAGTTCCCTGTACGAAAATGGTGCGGTCGGCTTCTGAAATCCAATCAGCCGCTTCCTGCGTGAAAGCATCCATGCTATTTTGCAGGTCCAGAGGGTTGTCTTCCATGTCAAACTGTGCAGTGACCGAAGATGGAGTGGAAGTCATCTCCCAGGGATCCTGATACATTCTTGACACCTAGTTCGAAAAGGCTCGTGCAGTCTCCACGAACTAATGTTGGCAGACGCACAGACAGGCGCGAACTTAGTTAGGTGCAAACAGAGTGTTTTCAGCTGAGGCTGACTCCACTCCGTCCGGAAACTGCTCCGATACCTTGAGCCAAAGGGCTACGGACAAGGCAGCTCGCTGGTGAGCGAAGAGCGATCACTGGTCCTGCATCTCATCTTGATCACCTTTGCTGGTGATGAAATTCAACTGTCGATAGAACTACAGGAATTTGATAGGCTCAATGAGTTCGAAAATGCTGTTCTAGAGAATCTCCCGTACATAGGAGAACGCAGCACCTTTGGTTGTGAGCTTGACTTTGTACATAAGGACAACCGAAAAATTTTAGCGGACCCTATTTGGGACACTTTGCGAGAAACAACTGCTTTAACCTGATTGTTCGGCAGTGTTTTGCCCAGGGCAGCTGAAGAGCAGGGTTAAAGCAATTAGGGTCCGGTCTAACAGTACTGGCCGAGTACTGCCACATGCATTCTCGCACATCACGGATGTCAGGCGTGTGCAGGTGGAAGCAGGCATTCGCATCATTGGTGAGGCTGCCTGGCAGAGTTGTCTGCGACTCCAAGTGGTTCAGCTGCCGAGCACGGTAGTCTGCCTTCAAGATGGTGTTTTTCGAAGAAGCTATGCGCTCAGAACGGTCCTGGCCCCAGGGTGCAAGCAGTTCGGAATTAGGGTATTCGAGGAACGTTGCTCCCTAGTGCAAATAGGAGTCAATAGTGATGCAACTAATCAATTAGCTCCTCAGGCACAATTTCGGCCGCGAGCCTTTGAGAAATGCACTGCACTGCGACAAATCAGCTTCGAGAAAGCTGAGTATGACCCTGCTAACCTAACAAGATGCCTGCCTGAGTGCTGTTTCTTGGAGGCTGGGATTGTCTCGTTGTATCTGCCGTCAGATTTCACATGGATAGGACCCGCCGCTTGCGAGCATTGCGCACGGCTGCAACTAGTTGACCTCTCCCGGACAGATATCAGTGAGATTTTGGGGCCCACTTTTGCACACTGCTCGCAATTGCTGCAACTCAGTCATGCCAAGAAGCTGCGGAGGATTGGGCGAGAAGGCTTTCTGAAATGCACTTCGTTGCGCGGGGTGCACACCCCGCCAGCGTTGCTGTACATTGCTCAACGAGCATTTGCAGGACGCACGCAACTTTGCCAATTTCACAAAGCAGAAACCAGAACAACGTGGAGAGGGCCATACGCCGAGACCAATGCCTTAGGACCTACTGTACAGCGACGCTGAGTGGCTAGACAGTGCCCAGGCTGCCACCCTAGTGGTAGTCCTGGATGAGTACACAGAGTACAGACTGTATAGCAAACAAGACATAGGATAACGGCGTTTCACCCGGTTTCACGTAGTTCATGGGGCTTGCACGTTTCAAGAATGCACAAAGGTGGCGCACCTGCAAGGCGCCAATGGATGCTCAACACTTGTTGCCACTGCGCCAGTCGACAGCTCAACTCGGCTCCGAGTGAGCGGTTTGAAAATTTTGCCTTTCTGTGGCTCCCATGGCAAAGCTGTTCGAGGAGTCACCGTCGCAACGTGGATGTGCAAGTTTGCCGCTCCCCCTCCCTCGGGGGGGGGGTGAGTCTGGCCTGCCAGGACTGTGCTTGCTAGCGCCTCCCAACCCTTGCCTTCATGGCTCCACTGTCTCATGCTTTCGATGATTTGAAGTCTTCGACTGCTGATACAGTTGTTTTCCCTGAGCCGCATGTGTCTTGCATGGTCTGCAACATTCGCTGCAACATTCGCTTTGACTTTCGTGATGATGATGACGGTTGCGTTGGATCCCTGCTGTCTGACCGTTTTCTATGCAAACTTGCAACTCATGCCTTGCAACACCGTGCTCTGTTTGATGAAGCCCCCCTTTTTGATGATTGATGTCTGGCTCCATGCCTCATCGCGCGAAGATTGCAGCAGATCTCGAAAGGTCTCGAAAGGTCTCGAAAGCCGAGGGGCAGTCATTTTTCCTCTCTTGAGTGGAAAGTAGATACGGACCTGATGATGATGTACTGAGCGCAAAGGATGAATTCATTGCCCCTTGTCTCACCTTGTCTCACCTTTTCTTCTGGCTGACACAGCCGTCCTGAGGTACGAACCTTGCCTTCGGTTTTGGTGTGGGTTTTTGGTTTTTGTTGTTTGGTGTGGCTTTCTCTGTTTTCTGTTTCTTGCTTGGTTCGTATCTCTCTTTTACAGGTGACTTGTGCATCCTCTGCGCACATAGCGCCTCGACCCGTGCAAAAAAACCACGAGCTCTACTACAGCTGAGACACAGACCGAGAAGGAGCCCGAGACTTCCTTTGGTGTTCTCCGCACCGAGAACCTGCGGCTGCAAGACATCGTGAGAGACCAAGAAGCTGAACTATTTGATCTCCAAACCCAATGCACGGCGCAAGAAGAAGAAATTGAACAGCTCATCGACATCCGAGAGTACATGAGGATTGAGATGCGCGAGATCGACACCGAGTACAAGAAAGCCCGCGACAACTGGATCGATGCACACAACCGCTTAGCTGCGGTTCGTGACCAGCTCTCCAGAAACTGGATCCCTGATGCGGTCATCACGACCAGGACCGGCAAGTCCTACCACACCCATCCTGACTGTCAAGCTTTGGCAACGGCCGATGCGCCGCAGCTGAAGCAGTGGAACTGCTGTGCCTTTTGCAGCCAGAAAGCCCTTGAGTTCTGGCGTACTTACTGAACCACCACCGGTGTGGATTTGTACGCCGTACAATCATGTGAGCCATGTTTGAGCAGCTTTTGACCTCGCCGGTTGCTGCCTTTCGGCTTCCCTGTGCCCGACAGGGGCCCCTTGAACCACACGCACGCTACGCACGTGTCCAAAAAGACCGATTCACATTTCACCTTTCCATCCCGACACTTCGTGCGGTCGCGATGCTAACACGAGTTTCCACTTCCGTGCTTTCATAATATATATATATATATGCGCCTCCACTTTTTAGAGCAATCCATCTTGCGTGATTTTGATTGTCCTTATCACAAATATATGTGCATGTTTTAATTTTGCCAGTGAAAACCTACAACTTTTGCTGGATTTGAACTCCGAGTATGTCGATGTCCCCATCACGCATGCTCACCATTGGCAGCCTTTCAACGTGGACATCACCGGAACAAACACATGGCATCACATGGCAAACTTGGTCCTCAATATTTTCCTTGGTGAAGCAGCAGTGCTTTGATCCATTTTCACAGTGCCACGAACCACTTTTGCCCGGGCGACGAACATTAACTTGCGACCTCCAATCAGAATCCACATCCAAAAACTTTTGAATACACTCTGGTGTTTGGTTTTTGGACCGGATCTTTTCGAAACGCGGAAAGACACAAACGCAAACATGTCCATGGGATGGATTGTTGACCCATTGGCAGGTAAGTGGACCTTTGATGGTTTGGTGTATGGATCCCAAATGGATGGGACACATATGAGGAAACATGTCCGGCATTTCTGGAAACAAATCTACCCATCCACACATCCTCCAAGTTATGTTGGGCCCCAGCCTGTGCCATCGATTAAAGAGCCGTTACGTGGCTCAAACTCAATGCAGTGAAGGCCCTGGCTCACCAAGGCCATGTCTTGCAAGAGTTGGAGGGAATGGGGCGTTTGGCATTTGAACTGAGTGGAATGTGTGACAATAATGTTGTGACATGTTGTGACAAATGGCTTGGAATTGAAAGTGAAGGGCCAAATCGTTCTCAAGGACGCAGAGGCTTTTGGGGGTTTGGACATTTGGTTCTTCATGTCCCCAGGTTGACAGCTGACGGAACGACGGGAAGGATGAGTCATTCGAGCTGTGGGGCAATAACTGACCGATCGGAGTGGTGATCACAAAGCCTTTGAACAAAGGGTTCCCTGTGATTTTAGCTTAGTTGAAGTGACTGGGACTGTGGTGAAAAAGTGACGATTTTGGTCGGCCACGAATGTGTCTAGTTATGAGAGAAGGAGGTTGCCTGCTCACCGCGAGTCATAACCCATTCCCTGGCCCGAGGTCGCTCCGTTAAGATCCGGGCAGATCAGGGCCACAGAAACATTCCCTTTTTTTTCCGCTTTAGTAGATTTAGGCTCCCGCTTGCAAGGATTTCCATGCAGGGGATGGGATCTCTGTACCCGTTTGGAACCTGCCGATACAAGGCCAATGCTGCGCTTCGGCGCAGTGTGCCTGGCCCTGCTAGGCAACTGGGTGTCGAATTGACGTCGGAATATTGGTGGAAAGCAAAGTGTTAGATTGTTCCCCAACAGTTCATTTCAAAACCGAAGTGTGACATATTCCTTGACATCTGGCTTTGAACAGCACTCGATAAATGAGAGTTGTGTTCCGTATGATCATGGTTTTGTTTGAAGCAGATCTCAACCCCCAAAGATCTCACCTTCCTTTGCTAGTAATTACAAGTGCCACGCTAGTAGTAACAGGTGCCTTACTAGTAGTATCAAGAAGCTTTTAATTTTCCGAAAAGGACTTGATGGACATCGCCGCGTTTGTTCCGCATCGCCGCGTTTGTTGGCCTCGCGCATGGCCCCGTGCGGTCGGTGAGTGCGGTGACGGTCAGCGGCTCAACGCCGGAACAAGAGGTCGGCGACTGCACAGAAGGCACTGTACACCCAAAGGCATGCGACTTGGAGACCATCAGAAAAGCACGTTCACCTGTCCTTTGGCAGAAATCCAGTCGACAACCGTTGAACAGAATGAACAGAATTGCTTTGTCCAAACTGAAAATGCATAGAAATAGGATTAAGAAAAATATTGGACATGATTTCCAATGGTTTCCGAAGCCTTTTGTTGTTGACTTACTGCCACCTTCCTGAATAAGCATGGGCTTTGATTGTGATGACTCACAAGTCAACAGTAAGGATGGACCAAAGTGTCGTTGGGGGTGTTGGCATTTTTGGACACCTGCATTTTTCGACGCCGGTGTAGGTGCAAATGCTCTGGAGACTGGCACAACGCAGCTTGGCCTGCCGGGACAGGCCACTTCGCATGATTTGAATGCGCAAGAGTTTGGAAAGCTTCTCCACCAAACTGAATGTTCATCATGTGTCTTGGCCTTGTTTATTCTTCTCTTTCTGCAGTGCAGAAGACCCATATTTCTAAAGATGTTCTGTTTTAAACAAATCCCAGTGGGCTTTGGAGTTGTCAAGTCGATGCAACGAATGTCGGACACTGAAGGTAGTTCAACACAGTTCAACTGAACAGCAACGCTTTGCATGTTGCTCGGTTCCTCTCACCACTGACAGGTGGAGCTCCGGCAGCGTCTACAAGAGCTGAGCCCCCAGGATCAGCAGGAGAAAAGGGGTTGAAATCCGAGTTGGCAGGCAATGTAGGTAGGAAGCACATCGAAGCGAACTGAAGTAGTCCGCAGTAGTCTTGTCACTTTCGCTGGATCACTGGACAAACCCGTTTGGAAGTGCCGACCAAGCGGTCGACCGAGCATCGTGTCCACGCGGTGAAGAGCGACAGAGGACCTCGCGCTGGTGGTTCCTGACTTGCAGAGGGGCGACAAAGTGGCCTTCAAGCAGAAGCTGAGCGTCATGGTGCCAAACGAAGCAGATCTACAGAAGCTGAGCGTCTGTGGAGTAGCGGCTGATTGACCATCCCAAACGAAAGCCCCCATATGGAAGGCACAGAAACCAACCGGGCCTGCAGCTGTGTGTGCTTTGGTCATGAGATGTGCTGACTATGGCACCAATGACAGGTGCAGAATGGCGGAAATGACCGTATTCGACGTTGTCTACAAGGCGTGACAATGTGTCGAGAAGGAAATGCCTGTGAATCTTGCGATGAGCAGGCCCTTGTCTTAGCTGTGTTGAATTTTAGAGGTTCGCGTGTTTGGCACTCTGAGGACAAAATGTTGCGGCAACACATGTGCTTCAACTGAAGCCTTACAAGGGGATAGGTAATTTGTACACAGGCATGCCGTATCTTTTGCCCAAAGCTGTCTTTGTTGGTTTCCAGTGTTGGAAGGTGTTTCCAACATCAATAGCAGGGGCTTGTCCTACTCTTGACCGTAGCAGGCATGAGCCCAAAAACACGAATGGGTCGTGGACCTGGGGCTCACGGACAAGTTGCGGCATCCAGGTCTTCAGCACTCCACCGCCTCCCTCGGCCGCTCTGTGTGTCTTGTCTCGCCCTGTGGGTGGCGTATTGGAAGAACACCACCATAGCTCCGAGGCTCTTCCCCAGAAATGCCCGAAAAGCTCCACAGCCCTCGGTTGCAGCCCGCGTTTCGCCGGGTTCGGAGCCTTCGGGGTCCAGGCCTCACGGAGGTGGGATTCGACGCCCTGGAGATTCAGCGCTGGCTCCAGCAAGATGCGCCGCTGCCCAGGCGCAACATTCGGCGGGGATGTGTTCGGGGTGCCCCCGTTGTAGGTGCTGTAGCCGGCTGTGGCCCTGGAACTGCTTGATCAGCACACCAAGCCCTCAAACTGCAAGCACGGCTTTCCTCCATGAATGACTCCCCCCCTTTTCCATGAGATTTCTTGTTGGGGTAGGTTTGGACATTTTGCTGCCAGGTCTCGAAGGACCTCTCCGTAAGGGGTCCTCAGCAGCTGTTTCTCTTGGAGCTTGTAAGGCTAAGGCGAGCAGTGCAAGCATGTGACAGGCGACTGAGCCCTTCCAAGACTTGATCCCCTTGATCAAAGCCTGCTGGAGTGCGATAATAGTTTGTTCAGAGTTCAGATTTTGATTCCAATGGTTGGGACCACTGACGTTTACCAAATCATCCAATTTTGTTCACATCTCTTTTTCCAGTGGGTTTCATCATCATCATCATCATCATCATCATCATCATCATCATCATCATCATCATCATCATCATC